CATCTAGGGGTTGGTGGACATCTAGGGGTTGGTGGACATCTAGGGGTTGGCGGTCATCTAGGGGTTGGCGGTCATCTAGGGGTTGGCAGTCATCTGGGGGTTGGTGGTCACCTTGGTGGACGAGAGCTGATTTGTATCTGTCTTGGCAGAGGACCTAGTTCTAGCTCCTGTCCCTAATGGCTCTGCCTAGGCCACAGAACTTGACCATCTCTATGCTCCCTGCCTGGAATCCATCCATGTGGATATCTTGAGAAACAGTATAGAGCCAGATACTGTACTTCAACATTCCTGGCAAGAACAAAGGATCCTCTAGTAAGAAGGGGAATAAGGGAGGGCCAGGGAAACAGCTTGGTTGGCAACATGCTTGTCTTATAACCAACCATGAGGCCTTGTGTTTAGCCCCCCAAACCTGAAACCCATGTTTCAAAAAACAAAAACAAACAAACAAAAATCTAAGCATGATGGTGTATGCTTGTAGTCCAGTGCTGGGCAGGCTAAGCCAGATGGATGGCAGCTCTCTGTCCAGGCTGCCTAGCCTAGCTATTGAACTCAAGGTCAATGAGTCTAAAAACCAAACCAAACAAACAAAACAGTTCCAAAGGAGCGATCCTTAAGATTTACCTCTGGCTCCCACATGCACACCAAATACATGTGTACCCACCCCCACCCCCAACACACACACACACACACACACACACGGAGAAACAAGCTAATATGCTAACATATCAAATACTGAACATATTTGGGGACAGAGGGTCCACAATGGGAAAGGAGGTCAAATGGTTTGAAAAAGGAAACTGTAAGAGCCCAAGTGGAAACAAGTCCTGTTCTAGGAGATCTGCGCCTCAGTGCAGCCTTTGCCACCTGAGAGTCTCCTGTCACCGAGGCCTCACTGGTGCAGCACCCACCTTTCTGGAGGTGGCACACACTGCGCTCAGTCATGATGCTGATCCACTTGGGGACATCTGTTCCTTTCCTCTTCACCCCAGCATCATAGAGCTCCTGTGAGAGATGCAGCCAACCAGGAGAAGTTAACCACACAACACCCTAGCAGGCATTACTCAAAAATCCCGTTCCAAGAAACGAGTGAGCTCACAAGCCCGTATGCAGGTGTGACCCACAATATACCACTTAGAACAAGTGTGCTCAAACTTTTGGCTTCTTGGGGCCACACTGAGATATCTCCCTAGACCACAAAGCCCACTTGTAGCATTTATAAAAAACCTTTCTCTTATACTCAATGTATCCCCCAGACTATATAAGATTTTAAAACTGAGGTGCATAATTTTGTCTGTGGCTATTATGACTTGATATAAGATAACAAAACCGCTGACCCCTCTGGGTGAAGCACACCTAATGTGAAGCTAAATTAGCTTAATGAGGAAGCCACAGGCCCCTGTCACCTTCCTCTGTCCTCACTGAGTGGATTAGAGAGCCGTCCTACCCCATCTGCCCTAGCTTCCCTACTAGCTTAAGGTCAGGAGCTAGCACTTCTACACAGTCAAAGTCCGAATGAGCCGATGGGAACTGGGTATACATCTGGTAATTAACCCCAGCATTACAACTATGATTCCTGGGAACAAACCTCATATTCTCAGATGAGTTGAGGCTTTAACTGGCCCAATACTCTCTTACAAGGGACATTACCTAGTTTTACCCCTCCCATGTCTGTGGGCTGGATTCATGGACTCACTTCTAATGATCAGAGTATGACAAAAGTGTGTGACACTTAGGACTGAGCACAGGGGCTCCTGGATCCCTCTCAGATCCCTCGATTTAGGGAAGCCAGCAGCAATGTCGTTAGGGACGTTCAAGCAGCCCATGGAGGCCTCTGTGGAGGAATGCTAATATCTCTTGCCAACAGTTAAGTCACACATGAGCTGCATAGGAAAGATCCCTTTGACCCGGTCACGCTCTCAGTAGTTACAGCCCTAAACAACATCTGGTCTACAGCCACATGAGAGGCCTTGAGCCAGAATTATCTGGTCAACCCAGTCTCCATCCCTGACTCAGAGAATCTGAGAGATAACAAATGTTAGTTTGAGGTTATTCATTGTGTATAAATAAATGGTTGTGTGGGATACAACCCCTCCAAATACACATGCCGTGAAGCTTGGCACGTACCCGGGCATCCTGGTCAATCAGCTCATAGTCGATAACTGAACCATCCTCTGCTCGTCTACCCTGTAAGGGAAAAACAAGAAGGGCCATCAGACCTGGCTCTTGGTGCATTCTAAAACTGGAGGCAGGGGGAAAACACAAGAAGGGTCATCAACCCAGGTGAGCCATAACCTCATTCCTGAACAAATAGCACCTACAGCATTTCACATGTTCATCTAGACAAAGCCAAAGAAGAGAGAGATGGTCAGGGAGGGAAGTGGGTGCACTATGTCTTACCATTGTTAGCCAACCTTGGGTACCCAAGCCTGAGTAAGCATCTTACCAAACTCCCTGACCTACACCCCAGAGAAGCTCATTTAAGTCTCTTCCCTCAAACCGTTTATAAAGATGAGACACATGGCAACTGAGAGTGCCATGAGGATACGGTGAGCAAATGGAAGGAACGATACTGTACTGAACAGTAGGTGGAGCCCAGAAGTGCTAGGATGGGGCCTCAGCTGAACCCTCAGGGGCCAGCAGTATGGTGGCTGGCAGGGGCACTCTGCACACACAAGCAGAAGTGGAACAGGCTTAAGGTGGGTGATACACCGCCCAGAGTGATCACAGAGCAGAAGGACAGAATCACAGAGATGACGATGGAAGGTTCACAGGCCTAGGGTAAAGGCGGTGGGGCAGAAGGAAGGGTGCAGCAGCTATTGGTTTTGGTCAAGGAAGCAAGATGCAAGCAGATTCTAAAAAGACCCAGAGTCTGTGGTGCCTGGATGGAGGCAGATGAAGGCAGGAGAGTCACAGAGTTGTCATCGTCAAGGAGATGTAAGTGGGCCAGGCTGCAGCACATCCTCAGTCACTTGCCACAGGGCTCCCTGAGAGAATTCCCTTCCCTTGACAGACTGGTGTTCAGGTGCCTGCCAGCCTGAACTAGAGATTCACAGGAAACATGCTTTACATCCTCATTAATGCAGGAACATTAGCAAAGAGCCTACAAAGACCAGCACATATCCCAGGGCACTAGGAAGGAAGGTTTGCATGCGTACACACACAAGTGAAAGGTGAAAGGAATGAGGTCACTTTGACAGGTCCAGTGTGACCTTCCTTAAGTCACTCAGTACAGGTTAGCACAGAAATCCAGGCCAGAGCTTGGTAGCTGCCCACCCCTCCCCTGGCCCCTGAGTCCAGTTGTCCACACGGTTCTGCAGGATAAGAAATCCTATTAACAAATATGACAGTTCTGCAGAGACGGAAATGCAGCAGAATTTCTGAGCAGGCACAAGGATTTAGTTAATTCCCTCCCCAGTACAGAAGGAGCTGCGCCTGTCGTGGGAGGCGGCAAGGGGAGGGAGGGAGAGAGACCAACCTTTGCAAGGGCTACCATCAGCTTTCGGAAGTCTCCAGATGTGTCGGAGATGATGTCCTTCTCCAGATCGGTCTTGTACACTGAGAAAACAACACATCTGGCTTGATGCTTCCAGCTGGCACACCCAACCACCCAGTACAACTATCTATCACCCACCATATTTCAAAAAGCAGGCATTGTTGTGCTAGTGTGGAAACAGTATGCCCCAAGTGAGAATGAAGTCTCTAGAAAGGGGTCTACTCCCATGAGATCAAAGCTAGGGTGACTGTCAGTTCTAACAGACAGACAAGCCTAAGTCCCAGCATTCCTCAGACTCTCTTTAACCAGCGGACTTGTTTCTAACTAAAATATTGTTACTCAAGCTAGTAAGACGGCTCAGTAGATAAAGTGCTTACAGCCACATCTGGTGACCCAAGTTCTAGCCTTCACAGTAGAAGGATAGAATCAAAAGCCTTGGGGGTTGTCCTCTGACCTCCATAACTGTGCCTAATGTGCTAAGTGTGTGCTTGACATCCCAATGCCGAGGAGGCAGAGCCAGGGACATCCCTAGGACTCACTGGCTAGCCAGCCTCGACTAACTGGTAAGCTCCAGGTTTAGGAAGAAACTTGTCAAAATGAAGGTGGACGGCTCCTGAGAACAATACCTGAGTTTGGCCCTTATCTTCATATTCATGAATGCAAGCATGCACACAAACATGCATGAAGAATGCACACAAGCATGCACGCACACACGCACGCACACACCGGGCTAAGAGGGTGGGTCTCAGAAACAGGCTACTCACTTTCCTTGTACACTCTGTTGATCTCTTGCAGCTCCTGGTTGGTTCTTGAGCAGATGATCTCAATGAGGGAATCCTCATCAGTCCCCAGGCCCTGTGAAGCAAGAAGCCCAGACATCAGTGGCCTTCCTCGCCTCCATCAAGTAAACTGAAAACAGATGGCTCCTTCAGGGACATCCCTCCTGAGCAGTCTGTCCTCTGTTCCTCAAGCACTAGATAAAGATGCTTTTTTTCTTTTCACATCCTCAGATCCCAAGAAGGTGTAAGCCGCACACCTACATTCTATTATACTTTTTAAAAATGAATGAGAAGAGACAGCCTTAGAGTACCCCTCGGTGCTAGAGGAGGCCGTGGGGCTCCGGCTTGCTATTTGTCTTTGTTAGTTCCTATCAGAGCCACCCACTATTTTAATAAACAGGAAATAGTTGTCTTCATTGACCAAGAAATGGTGTGTGGCCGTTGTCAGCAGCTGCCACAGATTAGAACACCTCCTTAGCGGAAAGGTGCTAGTTAGGATAAAATTCGCCAATCTTCTTTGAAACGAAAAAAATGGCTTAATGGTTAAAAAAAATGCATCCTGTTACTTCCATTTTTGCTTGATTACTCTGCACTTTTTGGGTACTTAGAAAGAGAAAATAACAAAAGTGCCAAATAAGCGAAGAAGCTAGCACTTTATCAGGAGATGAGAGCTTAATGAGGGGGTGTTCGAATTTAATATATACACTTTTGAGAGTGCCGGAGAGCTTGGAAGGATGCAATGAAATGTGTATTTCAAAGCTGGCTTCCTGATCAAAGTCAAGGCTTAATAACCAGGGTCTTCTAATACATGCCTTCACGAATATAGAGGTACCACTTTGAACTAAGTAGAATTACAACTGTTTAAAATGTAAATCAATTATAAGGTGTTAATACAATAAGAGAGGTACTTATCCACATGAAAAGTGTGTCGGCTGTTAATTAAACTTATTAGAGAGTATATGCCCCCTTTAGAATGTGCCTTGTACAATCTAAGCTAAGCCCCGGGTTAATAGTTAATTTTGAATCTTAGTCTTAATCTAATCTTTGACTCTTCTCCCTGGGATTTTAATCATGGTTTTTCACAGGTTCCAATGAAACCCCAAATTCTTCCCTTGTTAGCCAAAGGTCTATATGGCACTCTGAACCTCTGGAGGTGTGTGCTGCAGTGGTCACAGAGCTACACAGCACTCTGAGCCTCTGAAGGGGTGTGCTTCGGTGGACACGGAGCATCTCTGAACCAATTTCCAGGGAGAGACAGTCTTTTCAAAGATGAAGAAATGAAGTCTAACTCCTGTGCCAGAAGAAATGCCGGGTCCTGACACCGAGGGAGACTGAGCCAAGCACAGTATCTCACCTTCCAACACCCATATATCAGAGGAGTCTAATAGGGTTTTATCTCCACTTTCAAAGGTGACCTTGGCAATTTCTAAAACGTGGCCCAAGCTTTCCACAGCTTATGCATAATTCTTATCACAGGACCAACCTCTCCTGTGACATATGGCAAAACACTGCCACTAGTATTGCCTGATGTGAAAACAGATTTTTTTTAAGGCATCATTTCAGTTAATGTCACTTGAATATCTGTGTCCTTCGGAAGGGTCACTCAACCGTGATAGCTAATGGAAGAGCTGGCGTCGGGTCAAAGATGGTGCAGTTAAAGCGCCTTTCATTGGGTCCAGTTACTTGGATTAGTGGAGTGATTGACAGCTCACACAGCTCTGCTTTAAGTCACTAATACCTAACCATAGATAGCAGTAAAATCACATGAATCACAACTAAGTGGATTCTTGACAAAAATAAGATGAACTGATCCAAATGTTGATAGTTAAAGAAACCTGGGGAAAGATTAGCTTACACATGAGCCCAGTGGCCCAAAGACTTGGCAATCTCAGAAGTGCTACCATTCAAAGCTGTTGTTGACATAAAACTACCCTTACCTTCCTTTCCCTTCCCTTCCCTTCTTCCCTTCCCTTCCCTTCTCTTTCCTCCCCCTCCCCTACCTTCCCCTCCCTCCCTCTCTCCTTCTCTCCCTCCCTCCCTCTCTCCCTCCCTTCCTTCCTTTCTTCCTTCCTTCCTCTTTCTTCTTTTCTTTCTTTCTAGACAAGGTCTCGTGTATCCCAGTCTGGCCTTAAACTCCCAATAAAGCCAAGGATCATCTTGAACTTCTGATCCCCCTGCCTCTACCTCTGGAGTGCTGGGATTATTGACATGCACCCCATGCCTGGTGTGTCGTGGCACTATTCTATTGGTATCTCCTCTGCAGTACAGCCTGCCTAGGATGCCACTTGAGCTATGCTGATGAACTAAAAAAGAGAGAAAGTGAGATTTAGCAAATGCTACAGTGGCTCTGGGCCATTAAGTCCAGAGTTCTGGTGATACTCTGTGTGGAGGGGCCTCATTCCCAGTGTGTTCTCCAGAAAGGATACAACCCAACAGGGTGACATACAGCTTCCTCTCATTGAAGATGCCTTACCAAGATAGACCAGCAGAGGGCAGCCTCAGATTATCCAACATGTCACAAGCACACAGAAAAGGGGCCCTGAGGTTTGCTGTGTCAGACATTTGTATATCTCTTACATTTAAGTAATATTGTGTAGCTTAGGTGAGCACAAAATCCAAGGGTGTTTCTAAACTAGAATTTACTAATTTAACCTCAAATCCCATGTTCAAAATAACTTTACAAAATCAAAACTTAGATAACAATATTATGTCCCGCCGAAACTTCCCGTTGGATCCAGGTGCCATTTCCAACCTGAAATCGACTCTCACCTGCACTGCAGTGCTAATTTTTACACCAAATCTAAATTTTGGCCCAGCAATGGATTGGGGAAAAGTCAGAGGAAGCAGCAGGCAGCAGGGCACGAGCAGAATCTGCAAGCTTTACTGAACAAAAGCTGTTTTTCTTTCTCCTTAATATCCTCCTTAAAGAGGAAGTGTAATCAAGGAAGCCGGTTTCCCAAAAGGCATTCCAATCACCCAGGTGCTGAGTCTGAGCAGCTGCTAACTGGCTTCTCAGCATTAGGAAATTTCTTTGCAGTCGTTAAAAAAGAAGAGATTGAAATATTTTTGGTTCTAATCCTGACAACTTATAGCATTGGGGAGAAATGACTTCAAATAGGAATCCAACACAACTGGTAATCACCTAGTTACACTTAAAAGACCGTAATTCATAGACACTAATGGGCAGGTTGACAGATGACACCCCACACGTGTTTACCTTCATGGAGGCTTTTAGTTCAGAAGCATCATACTGGGCAGGTGTCTTCAATAGGCCCAAAACCACTGTCTCCAGGTGGCCAGATAAGGCTGACTTCAGTGCTGATGGTAGCTCCTGCAAAAGGGAGATGTCTAAGAGCTGCTAGAACCAACATCCACTGTGAAACCAGTGAGACAGAAATAAGATGGCTCTAGCTAAAAAGCAGGCTGAGAGACTTTGACCACTCTGTAGTCTTGGGAGAACTTCCTTCCCTAGATTCTCTTATCAGACCAGGAGGGTAGAAACCGCATGTTAAGGAGACCCAGTAACATCCAGGGTGATCACAAGACAGAAACCAACGCAGCTGACAGCTCCAGAGAGGAGAGTGGGGTCTCCTGGAGACAGGAGATTTCCAAGGTCACTTTCCAAGGTCAAGGTCAAGCTGAAAAGAAGTGAGGTAGAAAGACCAGCAGATTCCTCCGGGTCTGTGGAGGTTCCAGGGAAGGCGCTTGTGATGCATCTCTAGGATGGGTCTTTGTAGCCTGGAGAAGAAGTGGGACTGGGAGGTGATGCTGAACCTTCCTTGTGTAAAACACTGTACCTCACACTGAGCCGTCTCCTCCTTCAAATCCGAGAGGTAATGAATATGATGTGAACTCCAGCCATTCAGAGTCCCCTTTCAACTTCATGTTGAATAGTGTTTCTTAGGGATGCTACTATCATCATGAACACACGATTTTAATAAAGTCAGAGGTCTGAGGGAGCACTCACACGTGTAGAGAGATAACCTTAATTCAGGGTGACTCTTAAAGATATTTCCTCAGGGATTGGACTCTCACCAGCCATGGGAATGGACACAGCTGCACTGAACTGAATTGCATTTGTTTTCGTGTGTGTGTGTGTGTGTGTGTGTGTGTGTAGGTGCACATGTGTGTAAAGGTCACAGGACAAGCTTAGGTATCATTCTGTTTTGAGATAAGGTCTCTCATTGGCCTGAAGCTTGGTCCTGTAGGCTGGCTGGTCAACAATTTCTGAGGATCCACATACCTCTGAAGGTGATACACAACCTGCTTTAGAGACAATCTTCTAGAACGCATACGTGTCAAGAATGTCAATGGATCCAAGAACGCATTGGGACCAGCCCATTCGCTGTCCTCCTCTGGCTCCTGATGCCCTAACCATGCATGGGAGCTAGGAGGGTCTTTCTAAAACAACACATACCAATTATAACACCAGCTTTCCAAATTGGAACCCTGAGGTTAAAGGATTTCCAACTTAGTCTCCCTTGACACTCCCCCACCACCAACTCTGCTCTATCTGGGCACCTGCTGAATTTTTCCACTTTGACTTGCATTGTTCAGAATGTCCAATATAGGACTCGGCACAAATAAAAATCCCAGAAGGGATTAATAAAAGAACAATTGTTCTCTGTATAGAGAGCCCTTATGTCTACCACTAGTTTGAATGTGCAAAGCACAAAATCCAAACTTCCTCCCTGTGGCCCTTTTACTAGCTGTGACGGGATCTGAAGCTCACCACCTGGGCAGGGTCCCTCTGTCCCTCTAGACCAGTGGTTCTCAACCTTCCTAATGGTGCAACCCTTAAATAGAGTTCTTCATGTCATAAATGTTGTGATGATTTCCAGCCACAAAATTATTTTTGTTGCTACTTCATAACTGTAAGTTTGCTAGTGCTATGAATCATAAGTATCTGTTTTCCAATGGTCTTAGGCAACCCCTGTGAAAAGGTTGCTCAACCTCCAAAAGAGATCATGACCCACAGGTCAAGAACCACTGCTCTAGACTATATCTTGACAAATAATGCATGAAATAATGCTAGGACATCCTTCAGAAATCACACAGTTGTGGCATCTTCCTGTGATAGATAATCACCTTGGACCATCAAGAATCATCAGGACACTGGGCTGTCCTTAGCATGTGGTAATGCCTATGTATTTGCTGACCCTTCTCATGATTCTGACAATATGTTTACTCAAACAGACTCTGAAGGACCTGTGTTCTCCAGCTACCTGATGTGAAATCAAACTCTATGTGCATACACAGTTCCAAGGCCACACTGAATAAGCAGTTATTTCCTACAGTCCAGAATAGTGGATCTCCTGTTCCAACAGGAACCTGGCTCTCATGGGTCTCAAATCCTCTGGGAAAGCTAGAGACATAACCATTCCCTTCTGTACCTCACTGTAGAAGATTAATGCGTGTGTAATGAAAGGAGACTTGTCATGCATGTGGGTTGAAGGGAGCTATGTCCTTTCCAACTGCTCCAGAGCTCGGAAGACAGAGCGACAGTGAGGCTTGACCTGGAACTCCAGGAACACAGTCTCTCCTGGGATTCTTTCAGGTCACCTCTACTGTGGCTGGAAGTAAAAGCCTCGGGTCAGATGGGAGCTGCATGTAGCCGCTCTTATGGCACTGCCCGAGTATAAACCAAAAGCTTTAATAGCAAAAAGTTAAAAATTAAGTAGCACATCCTTAAAAATAAAATTTTCTAATTCTGTGGAAAACTAAGATGAACAAGTGGGGGCCTGCTTTTAGCCACTAGTGGATGAGCAAAGGAAACACACACACACCTCCTTAAATAGTAGGAGTGAAGCATACTAACAATAGAGAGCTGGACTACGGCACTTCAGCCAAGCTGAATCTGAAGCCCTGTGTGTGTGTGTGTGTGTGTGTGTGTGTGTGTGTGTGTGTGTGTGTGTCCATGTGTTCATGCATGTTTACACGTGGAGGTCAGAAGTTGATATATGTTTCTTTCCTCAATTAATCTTCATCTAATTTTTGAGACAGGGTCTCTCACGGAATTTAGAGCTCTCTGAATCAGCTAAAATTGACTGTCCAGGAAGCCCCAGGAATCCTGTCTAGAGTCCTTCGCACCGGGGTTCCAATGACAAGCCAGTGTATTTAGCTCTTTTAACATGGATGCTGGGGATTGAACTCAGATCCTCATGCTTGTGTGATAAGCATTTTACCAACTGAGCTGTCTCCCCAACCCCTTGGTGTAAATGAGAAGCTCATGTTAGGATTCATGCCCAGTGGAGGAAACCATTCTAAAATTAAGTTCACAACATCTGGTGAAGAAGCATGAGAATCCATAAGAGGAAGTGAGTTGCTACCTAAGCACAGTACCTGACACAGAGTCAGCACACAACTAGTGAGACCATTGCTTCCCTTCCTTGTCTATTAGAGAATGTCTCCTTCCTGTGTTCCAGGATGTAACCTTTATGTTTCAGCTCCCACGTATATGTCTATATAAGCAGCAACCTTCACAAAGCTGTAAGAGGGAAACCTTGAACATCCAAGAGTTTTAGAAGGATCTTTTTGGTTAAAGAAGAGCCACAATTCACAAAAAGAAAAAGTACTGTTGGACAGGGGCGGGGGTGGGGGGTGGCTTTGCAGGTAATGGTGCTAGCTGTAAAAAGCCAGATGTGGTAGCACACATATATATCCCCAGGATTTCTGTGACAAGACGGAAACTGAAGACAGGAGAATCAACAGAAAGCTTTAGGGCCTTCCATCTACAGCATGCAAGACAACACAAACCTCTCTCTCTCTCTCTCTCTCTCTCTCTCTCTCTCTCTCTCTCTCTCTCTCTCTCTTTCCCCCACCCTAAGATTCCAGTACCTTTTTGGTCCTTCTTTGATAGGCGAAGAGAATGTCCTGCCTCTGCTCACAGCTGCGGTTAGTCAGGATGTTGACAATGGTGACCTCATCCACTCCTGTGGAGAATCAGGTTGTGAACAGTTACCCCACCACACATGTGAGGAAACTCTCACACAGTGAAATCCATATGCTCTTTCCCAAACCCAATGCTAGAATGTCATGACTAGCTCATTCCTCTTCCTGACCAAACACTGACACCCTCATTACCTTTTTCCTCAGAAAGCCTTGGACCTTGGGCCTCAGCCCTTTAAATATTTGTACTTAAAAAGCTATTTTATTCATGAATTGGTTTCCAAAATCAACAGTGGGAGGTACATGTGTGGAACTCTGGCAGTCAAACGGAACAAACAACAAAGATTTAGGGGGATTTTAAATGAAGGTTCCCAAATTGCCACTTAACTGGAGAATTAATAGATAGAACCTTCAAAATGAATTAATAGAGACAATTATTTATATTTATTGTAAGATTATGACCATATAAATGGCTAGGTATAATTTTTATAATTATAGCAGCTGTCATGACAAATGAGTCAGGCTTAATATGGCAGTTATATTTTAATAGCTAATTGATTAATAGAACCACACTTATTGAAGACAAGATTGTCTCACAAGGAAAGTACACATCCCGTGCTTTCAATCTTCAATAGGTGACTTTAATAATCAATTTTACAACTGTATTAAAAAAGAATAAGTGCTTTAATCTAAATTAAATCTAAATTGGGAGTTTTGAAGTGCCACCCAAATGTTTCAGTACCTATTTTAATTGGAACATGTGTATTTATAAAGATAAGCAAGGTTCGAGGTATCTGAAAGTTTCCAATTTTATATCAGAAATATTCCTCACATACCATTTAACTCGGGCAAGCTCAGTTTTGAGGATTCAGGCAGCAGGAGAGCTTTCTGCTGTCTGACTATGAACTTTGCTTAATAAAAGGAAAAGTCTCTGCCATGGCTGCTGGGTAACTCCAGAGTCTCTAAGCACACAAGGTCACTTAGAGACGACACCCATTGTGTCTTACAGAGAGTCAGAGGCATCTCACAGCACTCGGAGCCCAGAACTATGATGTTTGGGGGCAAAACAATGAGCAGTTAAACAGGGGAAGCATCCTGATGCTAGAATTTCTGGGTATAAAAGGAAAGAGGGTTTAAAATGTTTATGTACTCATTTCCAAATGAGATCACACTAATGAACATACTGACATATTAACAAATGTCTATAACTTCAGCTTAGATTTCAGAGTCGTCAGTGTACACACAGAAACCCTATTGCCAGACCCTGGGTTGGGTCTGAGGATATGGAGATCTCCTTTATATGTCCAATAGGGGGCTGATTAGCTCTTTTGCCTACATACTGGAATACTATGCTATGTATGTGGTCATTTAAAATAAAACATGGAAATATTAACTGATTTTAGGAAAATATTCAACATACAAACAAAAAGGCATGGGTTTTAGGATTGTAAACTGGAGTGCCCAGTATAATCTGACTTTTATTTATTCATTTTTGAGGGTTTTATTCTGGGGGGGGGGGAGTTTTTGGTTTTGAGACAGGGTTTCACGCAGCTGGCCTCAAATTTACAGAAATCTGCCTGCTTCTGCCTTCTGCCTCCTGAGATTAAAGTTGTATGGGCTACACAGAGAAACCTTGTCTCAAAAAAAAAAAAAAAAAAACAATGGGGCTGGAGAGATGGCTCAGTAGTTAAGAGCAATGACTGCTCTTCCAGAGGTCCTGAGGTCAATTCTCAGCAACCACACTGGTGACTCACAATCATCTGCTGTGCCCTCTTCTGGTGTGTCTGAAGACAACTACAGTGTGCTCATAAAATAAATAAATAATTCTTTAAAAATAAAAATAATTCTTTAAAAAAAAAGAAAAACAAACAACAACAAAAAATATGTACCCGTGTATAAGGTTGAATCTAGAAGCAGATTTATCAAAGGGTGCACAGTGTCATGCTGATAACAGTCACTGCAGAGAAACTGAACGGAGACTGTCTACAAGTGGGCAGCCTCAGACTCCGAACCCTCTAAACCCTCATCTGCATCAGTGCCGTGTCACAGGTCGTCACCTGCATGTTTCAAGTTTAACTCAAGAAGCCCAGCGTCCTCTGGGCTTGTGTGCCAGCTCAAGGCATGTAAGGCATAGCCTATGCCAAAACACCAGACTATCCATTGGTGATTTTATCTCTTTTTAAAAGATTTATTTATTTATCATGTATACATCATTCTGCCTGCATGTATGCCCACAATCCAGAAGAGGACACCATATCTCATTATAGATGGTTATGAGCCACCATGTAGTTGCTGGGAATTGAACTCAGGACCTCTGGAAGAGCAAACAATACTCTTAACCTCGGAACCATCTCTCCAGCCCCAGTAATATTATCTTTAGACCACCTTGTCCCAGTGGGTGAAGCAGTTTGTTCCCGTGGAAAACTATCCAGCATAGGTTGAAACTGCAGGGATCAAGTCACCATTTGACTAAATACAGATGAAGGAGGTGAGGCAAATACTCAGCCATCCAATAAGGTGGGCTCTGTAGTCAATACTGATGGCCAGGTCTTCAAGGTTGAACTCCAGAAGCTTAGAGGATAAGGCTCTGCATACGTGAATTGGGTTCTTTTTAACTTCCCACCTCCCACCATTTAAGGAAAGACTGGCTAGGTAAAAGGGTCTGGGATCTAAAGAAACTGTGGACCAGATGAAAGCTTCCAGATCGCCTGCAGTTGCTTCTACAGGGGTGTTGAACAGCTCAGCGCGGGTACTCCGAACCAAGCTTGGGTCCTCTGCGAGGGCAGCAAGCAGTCTCACCTGCTGGGCCCCACTCAGGGGAGCTTTGTGAAAACTTATCAAACAGACTCAAACTTTACAGAAGTTGGAGCTGCCTAAGTCTGGCAAAGACCCAAAATGTAATAACGAATGGGTACAGGGTGGAGGTTAAGCATGTTTTCCTTGGATGAAGATGGTTAGCTAATCTAATCACCTGCATATTTTCAATATTCCAATAGAAGACACGGGAAATGTCTGTCATTGTTCTAAGTATTGTCAACCTGAGGAATGATTGACAGCTGAGCTCCAACAGTGACTTTGGAGTGGGGGGCTGGGTCTTCTCAGCTGCCCACCATATTTTACAAACATTAAAAAGTTTCAAGTATTGAATCCAAACCCACAAAACCCGCCCCTGCTTTCCTCCTCTCTTCGGGTAGAAATCCTTAGCCTGCTCTGGACTCCGGCATTCCATGGAAAATGCGTGTCTCCACTGTCCATGGCAAGGAACCAAGAACCATTTGGAACAGGATGCTGACTCACAACACCGGAGACTTGCTGACTGCACAGAGAGTGGATTTTTGTCTATTTGATGAGGGCTCAAGAGGCCTCGGGGCGGGAGCTGTCTGGTTGGAAAGGAAAGGAAAATTGCCTTATCTAGTTGGGGGCGGGAGGATAGGACTGCAGCTCGGGTTGCTGGATGTCTTGATATCTTTGGCTGAGAAGAAATCATCTGTCTTCACAATAGGGTCTGAAGTATGCCAGAGAGGGCCAGGCCAGGGAACCAGGGTCACTGTGGTAGTCATTATTACCAACTTGACAGGACCTAAAAGCACCTAAGAGACAAACTTCTAGGCATGACTGAGGTGGGAAAACCCACCGTAAGTGTGGGCAGCACCATCCCTGTGGGTTGGGGTCCTGGACTACATAAAATGGAGAAAGTGAGGTGAGCACTGGTACTCATCTCTCTGCTCTGTGCCTGTGCTGCAATGTGGCTGGGCTTTCACTCGCACTGTCATGCCTTCGCCACCATGATGTGCTATACTCTCCGACTGTGAGCCAAAAGAAACCCTCTTTCTCTTACATTGCTTTTCTTTTGTTCAGCATTTTGACCCAGGGATGAGAAAGTACCGAATACAGGAAGTCTCTGCATAAGCAGATAGGCGATATTCTGGAAGGTACCTGAGACTCAGGCCTGTATGACCTTGGGGCATGCTGCTTCTCTCCCTGCACCTGACTTCCCAGATATAAAACAGGAACCATCATAAGATTTATTTTGCTAGGACACAAAAAAGACTGACTGAATGATAGGAGGTAGGTCCCTCTCTTAGCTTCTCAGCCCCAGACCCAGCCTTTGCCTGAATTCAACTATTGGCCTATGAAAAGACAGGGCAGAGAGAAGACCAGGCCATGTTTGCTAATAGCTTTCATAAGATTAACAGTGCAGTTTCAAGGTAAACTATGGAAGCTCCCTGAGAGCTGAGAGAGAAATTGTATACACAGGGTAGGAGCTGAGGAGCACCAGGCCTCTGACAGGTGTGGTACAGTTGAGGGACAGAGACCCAGTTCAAAGACAGTCTAGCTCAGCTAAGTACCCAAGAAGGCATTTTAGCCCAGAGATCAAACTTCTATTCCCATTCTGTTCTGACGTCATGCCGGCTGAGTGTCTCCTTTGTCATTGGCATGGGATGCGTTAGTAATCTGGAAACCCAGGCTTGGGGATACAGCTCAGTAGGTAGAATGTCTAGCATGCAAGAAGTCCTGAGTTTAGAATCTAGCATCACATAAACTGGGTGTCATGGTGCGTCCCGGTAATCCTAGCACTTGGGAGGTGGAAGCCAGAGGATTGGAAACTTAAAGTCATCCATGGCTACACAGCAAGCTCTGCAATACAAGGACCTTGACTTAAAAAACAACAAACAAACAAAAAAGAAGCCCTTCCAATTCTCAGAGAATAATCTGGTATGTTTCTAAAATTCCATGTAGAACCAGTAGGAAAACACAAAGAAGTAAATCCAGTTATAAACGGAGTAAGGCGTGTGCAACGTGGGCCCCTTTCTATGCTCTAGCAATCCAGCTGCCTCAGGGAACAGGAAAGGAAAAGCCTGAACAGCTGCAACAGAAACCTGCAGGCTCACCCTTCACTCAGCCCACCATGCAGATGCCAGTTCTGGTTTCTTCCACTGTTCATGGGTGCAACTGGTTTTTGGATCTCCTCGGTAGAGAGAAGAAAGGGCTGAGGAGAGGTAGCCAATGAAGCCAGCAATGAAAGGGACCCAGGCACTCCCTCCCCTGTGTTTTACAGCCACCTGATTCCTACACAGCTATGCAGGCAATGCTCTTAGGCAGGAAAGCTGTGCTCAGGAGCTAAAGCAGCTGTAAAGGGCACAACAGGGCTTGACTCTGAAAACAGCTGTCAAATGACAGCTGGTTTGCAGTAACCCTGAACCCCAAGAGAGAGGCCTCTGCAAAGGAAAGAGTGGGCAGTTTCCCTTCTAGCCAAACAACATGGCTCTGGGCCAGTGAGTTACAAAGGACTTCTTCATGGAGTGTGCCCCACAGCACGGATTTCTTTTCTCCCCACCCCAACCTTACAAGACAGAGGCTCTGCTCCCCAGTCAGTAGCCTCCTGACTCTCCCAAGAGAGTTTACTCCCTGAATTGCTGCACCCAACTGCTTCCATTCACCTGCAGGTGTGAGAAAGAAACCCAAATGACTTGTCCTGGCTCACTTACCCGCTGCATAGGAGGCTGGTCTCACACCCTTGCAGCCTTGCTGGGAATCTTAGGTGGTTCTATTTTAAAATGTAAGAGAAAAGAAGTGCAGAAACTCACTTCTATAGTTGGGAGGCTCGCCCTTCCGGAGAACACAAACACTGCTCAAATCAAAACTGGCAATAATAGAGCAACTCCCAGCCCTCCTCTCTGCAGCCGCCAAAGCTGCTCAGATTCACTGGCACCAGTGCTAACTCCAGGGCTGTGCTGTTGCTAATTACCATCTATTTCATGGAGTTGAGATTCATCCTTTTCTAATTTAGCTGACTTTCCTTTCTAGCTATTTGGACCCATATGGTAAACCATCCCCAGCTGTGTTGAACACTCCATGGTATATATTTAACCCAAGGCCATTCTAGACCAAGAGACTCCTACAGATCAAGTCTCAGAAACCTCTTGTTAATTAAGCAATATTACTACCTTTGCATGACTTAACTCAGCTTCTAACTAGACATAAATTAACATAAGGTATTGCATGGTCCACCTCGGGCCAGAGAGTAAACACAAAGCAACCATGCACTGGGCTTAGGTGATGCAAGAAGATACATTCACTATTCCTCCGAAAACAAAACTGGCTCACAAGAGTGAGCTAAATTCAGCTGGTGAAAGTGGAACAAAGCTCACAAGGACTATTCACTTTTCTGGCAACACCCAGACTCTGTAATGAACCTTTGTGTTCCCTGTCCCAGAAGTGCATCTGTGCTTCCTCTGTGCTCTGACACCTGTACAACTTTTGAATACTATGCGGGATTTTTATCTCCTCACACAATCTCATGGTCCTGGGCATTTATAAAAGGTTGACAAATAAAACCACATAAGAAGAGACAGATCTAGAGGTTAGTAAGTATTAACAGTGTGACAAGAGCGAGAATGAAGGCATGAAGTGGAAACCTGGGAGACACGGAGGTGATCGGCCCTACACAGCTGTAGACATAGGGAGTCGTGGGGAGATGGGGAAGATGAGCAAAAGCTTGGGCTAGCCTGAGCCACACTGCAAAACCATGCCAGGGGGGTGGGGAAGGAGGATATTGGAGTAGAGCTATGCTTGTCAACTGTTATAGATTCAGGGATAAAAAAAAGTCACAAGCCCTTGGAGTAGCAAAGGCAGAGGGAGCATCTGCTTAGCAGCAGTCTTCAACCTTACTGATGCTGTGACCCCTTAACACAGTTTCTCATGTTGTGGTGACCCCCAGCCAATAAAATCATCTCATTGCTACGTCAAAACTGTAATTTGGTACTGTTATGAATCCTAATGTAAATATCTGATACACAGGATGTCTGATGTGACCCCTGTGAGAGTCGTGACATACAGGTTGAGAACCACTGGCTGAGAGGCCAGTATGGAATAGAAGAGGTTAGAAGAGGAAGCAACACGGATGTTCTGTTTAAAGACAGCCACCATAATGCCCAAAGGTGAGCTCTCATGGGCGCTAGGGAAAGGCGTGGAGAGGATTACCAGGTAGAGCCAGGTCTCTCTCTGTGTAGGAGAGGAGTTACCAGGCAGAGCCAGGTCTCTGTGTACTCTGCCCCTCCTGGTAACTGCCCTGGAGTCAAGCTTCCTCCCACATTAAGTCCTTAGGCTTCACGGCAATCATCCAGTCTCAGACAATGGGCTCCCAGCCTCTCCCCTCTGGCTCTGACTAGCCTGCAAGAGCCCAGCTCATCTCCTCTGCCTCCAATGCCAGGTCACAGGGAACAGCCAGCCATCCTTCAGCCCTTGGTTTGTGTTTCTATGGACACTCAAGGTTTACCTCTGTTTCCTTTGATGTCAAGATAAAGCCTGATCTGAGGTAAAGGTGCTCGGGAGTGTCTCAATCACTCAAGATTCCTGTCAGCTCATTACCTAAGTGGTGCTACTCATCTGAAATATCTGGGGCATTCATTTGTAAAAAGAATGATTTATTTATTTTATGTATGTAAGTACGTTGTAGCTATCACAGACACACCAGAAGAGGGCATTGGATCCCTTTACAGATAGATGTGAGTCACCATTCGGTTGCTGGGAATTGAACTCAGGGCCTCTGGAAGAGCAGTACTGATTGCCATCTCTCCAGCCCCCAGGGAAATGTTTTTAATGAACTTGCCCTGACTGAAGTAAGGCAATACATAACCATCACGGACAATTTGGCAAACACAAAAACAGAATATATATTGAAAGCACAAGAATCAATAATTCATAATTTCATAATTCAATTACCAATCTCTTTGATTTTTCTCCCTTTTTGAGTAAAAAATTGTAACTGTCATAATAACACACATTACAATCTATTTTATTGTCATTTTTCGGTAGAACTGACAAGTTTAAGGTGAATAAATGTTAAAATGAGCATATTAAATTGCCAATATTGATAAATATCTGTAAAATACATGTAAAATAATACATGTTAAATCTTTTATTGTAAAAAGCAACAGTCTTAAGAAAACTGTTACTAAAACCACTAGGCACAAAAAGTAAGCACCATCATAGAGACTAAATGATGGGGTTTGGGCGGGATGAAGGGACGAAGACACAGATGCCCCTGTTAGTGCTGGACCACAACTGTGGTGGATGTCTGCTGGCAGCGGGATCAGGCTGCACCCTGGTTTTCATGCCTGGAAAAATGCTCTAAGTCAAGACAAAGGAGTGAATCCGATCCTCACAGCTGGGTGCTGGGTCACACTCCAACTCCAAGTATGAACCAAGGCCAATAGACAGGAAGCATGCTAACTAGCTAGCCCTCCGTCGTGACATCTGTAAATTGGGAATGACACAACATGACATCTGAAAGCAGTCTGAGGGTCAGCTAAGCAGGAAGCTTCACGAACGGCTCAATGCAGTATCTGCTCCTGGTGAGCACTTAGTAAGTATTGGTAAAGACGGCCAAGATGATGATGGTGATGGGTGATGTCAGCCACTCCTACCCACACAGGAATGTGGGGGCCACGGCTCAGCCCGCAGGACTTTCTTGGCTTGGAGGACTACAGTGTTTTTCTGCTGATTCGGGGAGGGCCAGAAGTATTTTTATTAACGTGTGAGTTTCAGCTGTGACCAGAGTTCATCTGTGCAGTTTTCACATTCCAGTAGGCTAAGAGCTTTCTCATGCAGGGATAAAAGGCACCCTTTGTGCTAAGCTTGTAAAAGACACCATCTTTGTCAAATGACTTAACTATTAACTTGCAGGGTATTTTCTGCAAAGGCATGCGGAGAAACCACAGAATCTAGGCGTGCCCAACAGTGAAAGAGGAATTGTTTTAAGAAGTAGATCATATGTAGGGTGTGTGTGTGTATGTTTGTGTACTCGCACACACACAGTGTGGTGACTGAAAAGAGCATCCAATACGTTCCCAGATGATTGTGACTTGGCTACATTATGAGTTCAAGGCCACCCTGATAAGGAGAAAGCCTTGACAAGCTGCATGGCCTACCTTTGGTCTTGATTGCTGTCTCAATGTTCACAGCATCCCTCTCGGCATCAAAGTTGGTGTAGGGTTTGACTGACCCATAAGCACTTGGGGGTGTAGAATGCTGAGATGAGAACACAAATACAATCAAATAACACCCTGCACACCTTCCCATTAAGAGAACACTTCTGAAACCCAACTCTGCATTCCCGTTCCTCTTCATGATTCTAACCTCTTTCATGCTAAGTAAACAAATGTCAACAGGCTATCACACGCCAGCTTTCTTTTGTAAAATATGTATAAGAATATATAAGAAGGTTCATTCTGATACTTCAAATGCAGCTCAATAGCTGGAATGCTTGCACAGCATAACTAAGCCCTGGCTTCTGTCTCCCAGCACCACATACACTAGGCTTGGTAGCACACCTATGATCCCAACACTCCAGAGGTAGAGATAGGAGGGTGAGAAGTTCAAAGGCATCCTATGCTACATTATGAGTTTGAGGCCAGCTTGGGCTACATGAGGCTATATCCAAAAGAAGAAGATGGGGAGGAGGAGGAGGAGAAGGAAGAAGAGGAGGAGAAGGAAGAAGAGGAGGAGGAGGAGGAGGAGGAGGAGGAGGAAGGGGAGGAGGAAGGGGAGGAGGAGGAGGAAGAGGAAGAGGAGATGAAAGAGAAAAAAAGAAGAAGAAAGTGTACTACAAGAGTTGTTTCTACAAGAGTTTCTATAAGAGTTGTCCTTCAAAGGCTCCACTAGTTGAGAACATGCTGTGCCTCTACTCTGCATTTTATTCATAGAGGGAGATTTAAAGCCGAGGGCACCAAGCTGGAGATCTGGGATGAGTATGTTTAAGTTTCTGAAGAGAAAGAAAGTGGTCTAGCAAGAATTTGAACTAAGTCCAAGCTCTGGAAATGCCTGAAAGATGAGTGTGCACTGCCAAGCGTTCACTACTGGCCTGTGCTGTCCAGATTCCCACTCTTTAAATAATGAACAAGGGGCTGGGGATGTGGGTCAGTTAGTAGGGTGTGTGTCCCAACTGCATGAAACCTTGAGTTTGACCCCCAGCAGTGTATGGGCAGGGATGGTAGTCCCAGCTCTGGGGGGGGGAAGCAGATAAATTACAAGTTCCAAGTTATTCTTGGCTCCGTGGCAAGTTTCAGGTTAGCCTGTGATACATGAGGCCCTGACCCCAAACCCACAGACAAGAATGAGCAGTGCTCATCCTCATGTTCTCTGAGCTATTCAAGGGAAGAGACTTCCTCCAGCACTGTGCTGTGAGTACCCACCTTGGTACCACATCTTCCCAACTGTGATAAGTTCCTCTTCCTCTCCGTTCCATCTCCTCAGTGCTCCCTGCCTACTGCCCTAGTACATTTTCTTTATTGTCTTATAAATAGTCCTTCCTTTTTGGAAGCCTGAACCAACTACTTTCCTGGGCTGACAGATGGGAATCTCTGCCCACTCCCCAAGCTAATGGCCTACTTCTCTATCCATTCCTTCTTCTACTCATTTAACATCCCTCCTCCTTTGAAATGTTCCCCCTCTTGGATAATTTGCCCCAAAATGAAGAGCAAACAATGAGTTTGTGTGATGCCACTTTGGTTGGTGGGTGGTCCTGAACCACCCACCATTGATGAATCCCCTATACAGTGGCTCTTCTTCATTCTGCAGTGCCCTGTCACAGCCTCCCTGGTACGCACAGCGAGTGATGGTGTCACATGATGATAATGCTGAACCTCAGAGCAGCTCCTGTAAACAGTCAGCTGACTGTGGGGATGTCGAGGATCTCTGAGCCAGCCCAGCACCCACACCATTGGGTTCTTAGTAACAAATGAGACATGGAAGCAGCTGAGACACACTCCCAAGCGTCCCTCAGGATAAGCTAGAACTCTTAAGTTCAGAGTCAGACACCTGTTAATTAGGGCCAAATGGTAAATCTGGTTCATATTTATAGTTGTGAAACAATGCAAATGAGTTAGTAAAGTTGGCCCTTGCCTAATTCTACCACTTCCGGGCATGCCCAACCTCATAACATAACATTACTATCTACAATGTTCATTGTCTCAGAATTTTAGCAGAACCGTTACAGCTGGCAAGAATCTGGAGTGATGGCACCTAGACTTTGTAGGAGTCTTTTGCTGGTGATTGTTGTCTGAGATTTTATGGAGTTAATCTTTTGAAGGATTCTCAGAGTCTTTGAGGCATGCCTGGCAAACAGGAAGTCTCCATATGGCTAAGGATGCTTAGGTGAGAGGTCTTTCAAGACAGCCCCCAGATCAGATAAGTTTTGGTATTTAGAAATTGACTTGCTAAAGGTGCCCTTTTGTGTAACAATAAAAAGAGCTTCCTGGAAGCTGTCAGTGCTCCTTCCTTGAGAGGCTGATCCCCTGCTTCCAAGAGGCCTAAATCCATTCTGTATTGGCTCTCTTTTCTTGAATCGATCAGCTGATCAATTGCCCCAGGTTACCCAGAACACCAACAGTTCATGCTCAGAAATGAGGTAATTGACTTAGAAGAATAATGTCTCCTAGTAGTTTAAGTACGTTTCCAATTTTGTGGTGGGTCCCCTCCATAGTAATTCTGGGCATGTGGCCTATCAGGTTGTAGGCTGGACACCAGTGGTTCAGGCAGGGGAACACTCTGGGAAGATGATGACATGATGCAGCATACACGAAAGACATTTCAAGCAAAGTGCTTTCTGCAAATTGTTAAGGGGGCACCAGTAACTTATTGAAAGGGCAGGCAGCTGGCCATGCACCATGCCACACTTGGTTTCACTGATCAGATGACATGAGTGGGAGAAAGGTGAGTGTGGGTATGCATGAGTGGGAGAAAGGTGAGTGTGGGTACGTAGTAGCTCTAGAAACGTAAAGAAATGGATTACCAAATGTCTAGAAAACTCACTTGTCTGAAATTAAGTGATTAGGTAAAAGTGATCTTTCCTTCCCTTAAAATATTGAGCAGTGTGGGACATTTTCTGCTTTAGCTGCTTTAGTCCCATCTCTCCACACAGGGAAACACTCCTAGGGCACAGTAACTTCAAGAGATGACTGAAAAGCTCTCTCACAAAACTTTTTTAAAAAGGGTTTCATGTAGTCCAGGCCAGCCTCAAACTTGATAGATAGCCAAGGGTGACTTAGAAGTTTTAACCCTCCTGCCTCCATGTCCCAAAGCTGAGATTATAGATGGGCACTACCATGCCTGATTTATGGAGTGCTACTGGATGGAGCCTACGGCTTCACACAAGCTAAGCTAGGCATGCACCCTACCAACCTGCCATAGCCACAGCTGCCTCTCATGAAACTTGATACCAAGAACAATCTCATTATCAAAGGCATTAGATAAACTCCATTGGAGAAATAAATTTCATAACGGCAAGACTTGTCTAGGCCCTCACAGCAGGCCATGTTCCAAGAAGAGGAAAGATTTAAATGAGGGAACAACAGAGACTTTAATATTCCATACAGTCGGTGTTGGATCAGGCCCCGTTCATTTGCACATTACGGGAGCAAGTGCCACAGACAACACAGAGGGTCTTGTACACATGACCCAAGTCGTCACCCGTGTGTGGCTCTTTAAAAGATAAATTTTAATTCTGAGCTCCCTGATAGACAAAAGAAAAACAAGATCAAACAACAAAGCTCTTTGATTAATCACATAATTCCATTCTTTTAAAAATATACATTCTGGTTTATTTTGGAGAAAAGATTTCCCAAGTGCTAGATTAAAAACCAAAAGGCCAAGGCTTCTGAGGCCCAACTCTAACTGACGAACTATTGTAGTTGATGGTGGCTTTGAGAGAGAATTGCTTTTCTTTAGAGATGTGGCCATGGTAGGTTCCGTAGTCCAGTAGAAGAAGACCCGTGCACAGATGGGCAGCACTGACTGCACTCAGTTGATTAATAATAACGGTGACAACAATAATAAGAATCCATTTGCCTAGAAGAATATTGCAGATATTCTAAGAAAAAGACATGAGACTTGTTTTTTGACATGATCGAAGCTTATGATAAATAAAACCTCAAGGGTTGACATTAAAAACTTACACGTCATCAAAGCAAATGCAGTAAGTCCAACAAAGCCCAGTTCCAGTTATTTCCTTGCAAAGATGCTGTCCAAGTTTCATTCGATGCCAAAAAAGGTTTTAGCACCATGACATTTATTTCAAATAAAACTGCTAGGAACAGTTAAAGCAATGAGGAACCCAGGCACTGGGAGACACCTAATAATGCCTGAATTATGGCCCCATTTCCTTTGTGTATACAGCAAGATTGTAACACAGTTCAACAGATGTCCAATTTGCAAAATCACACAAAGTGAGAGATTAGATACTTACATCACCCTCCAAGCTGAGCTTGCACAGGATTTCGTGGACAGTAGACATTTTGAAAAAAAGCTGGAAAAAAAAAACACAAAGTCTTTATAAAAAAAAAAAAGCCTTCTTTTCCCTGAAGCACAGCAATTCATCACACTAATGTCTTCTTGGACCACTGCATCTGAGGCTGTTAAAGCAAGTATTTTTTTCAAGCAGGCAATTCTCTATCTTACCATTGAGAAAATTAAAGCTTAGAGACAGTGCCTTCGGTTGGGGATGGATTACTAAGCGGGTCTGTCTCTTGCTCTGGTTAAACAGGACCTGGCAAATTCTCGTCCCTGAATGCAAAATCTAAGTTTCCTGTGGTGAACACTTGTTCAAATAGAGAACATGTTCTTCCATCAAAAGTGATAAGCATATCAAAACTGTCATGACTTGTTGTCACTCACAAATGACTTCACATTGTAAGTAAGGCAAGAACTCAGATCAACAGTGGCTCCATGTTGCGCCGATCCTAAACAGAACTTATTAGTATTAGCCCCACAAGCACTTCTTCCAGTGATATTCAGAAGAGTCAGGGGCTAGGCCATGGGTTCACCCATAATACGCTCACCTAATAAGCACAAGACGTTGGTTTGATCCTCAGAACCCATATGAAAAAAGTCTGAGAATCTCCAAGCACTGGAGATGGTTGAATCTCTGGGGCTCCATGGCCAGCCAGCCCAAACTAATTGGCAAGGCTCAAGCCAATGAGAGCTCTTGCCTCAAAAAGCAAGGTGGGTACCGTCTGAGGAGAAATGCCTCCACACAAGTGCATCCAGGCATACACATATGCACATGCATGTATACACACGGAAAGAGGTTATTAAATTGTTCTTAAAACACAAATAGCCCAACTTTCTGATATGAACACATCTCATTGAGGGCTGATCTTACATTTAAGATTTAGAGCAATTGCAACATCATCGTCATTCACTGAATACATTTGATCAGTCAGGACTGCCAAACTGATAAAAGGCCTTTCCCTATTTGTGGAGGACGTTCTTGGGATGGGATAGCCCCACATGCCCAGCCCCCACCACCAAGATTGATTACTACTGAGACAAGACAGGTTGTTCTGCATAATCATCCCCCAAAAGAAACAGCCACCTCCCCCAAACACTTGCAAACAGTGTTTGCACCAGCAGCTTCCTTGGCACTTTGTGGGAATTAAGTTTTCTATTCTGTTCAGGGAACTTGCTTTGCCTAAATGTTTTCTTAAAACTGCTTTGAAGACAATATATGACCTAGCATTTGCCAGCTTACAGGGGCGTTCTGAACCAAACTAATTCTAGGCTGTGTGAGGTAGGAGGTTGGGGAGAGAAGAATCACCTTTATTTGTGGTCAAGATGTACTTTTTATAAGATGCTTGTGCTCATTCTCATCTATCTATCTATCTATCTATCTATCTATCTATCTATCTATCATCTATCTATCATCTATCTATTTATCTATCATCTATCTATCTCCCTTTACTCCCTCCCTCCCTCCCTCTCCTCACCCTCTCTCTCCCTCCCTCTGTCTTCCTCCCTCTGAAGCCTTTTAAACCTGACAAAAAAAAAAAAAAAGCTCATCAAAGACCTTCAAATTACCTTCACTTCCTCAGCTTCCTCACTTGCTGTACTGGTAAACTGTGGTGTATCCAAAACATGGAATATTACCTGGTGCTAAAAAGTTTTCAGTCTCTGAAGACACAGACGAACTTTAAATGGACATTACAGAGTGATGGGAACTGATCTGAAAAGTTGCACATGGCTGATTCCAGTTACAGGGCATTCTAGAAGAGGCAGCTCTATGGAGACAGTGAGATGATGTATGGTTGTCAAGGTCAGGGAAGAGACTTAGTTGGAGCATAGTTGTGTGTGTGTGTGTGTGTGTGTGTGTGTGTGTGTGTGTGTGATGGGGGTGTGCACACATATTTGTCAATGGCATGCATGTGAAGGGCAGGTACCTACAGAGACCAGAAGAGGTTGTTGTCTTCCCTGGGGCTGGAGTTCAGGTGACTGTAATCCACTGATGTCAATGCTGGGAACTGAACTCAGATCCTCAGCAAGAAAAACAAGAGCCCTTAACCTATAAGCTCTCTCCAGCCACTTCACCTCTACTGCTGCTGCTACTACTGCTACTGCTGCTGCTATTGCTGCTGCTACTGCTGCTACTATTAATGTTTTTACCTATGTGTGTGCACAGGTGCATGCCATGCCACATAAGTAGAGGTTAGAGGACAACTTGTGGTTGGTTCTATCCCTCCATCATGTGGGTTGCAAGTAAGCACTGGACTCAGGTCCAATCTCGGCCCAAAAGCCTTTTCCTGAACCTATAAAGACAAATTAACATCTTCCTTAGCAGACTACTCCTTGCATAAATAAGGCTCCTCCCCCAGCTCTGCCATCCAGGCGATTTCAGCCACACAGCACAGCAAATTTTTTTATTGAATTGTTCTTCCAAGCTGTCTGCCCAGCTCTGAGTGCTGCTTCTCAGATGGCTGCCCACATGGAGCCCTCCCCCTCCCAAGTGGAGTGCAGATCAAAGACAACCTGACATACTACTTTACACTCTCCCTTCCTGTTAATTCTTCTCCCACAGCCCCAACACCTTGAGAGGACAAGTTAGGGGGACTTTTGGAAGCCCCACCAATCTTGCTCTCAGTGCCAACAATATAATCGTCTTGTCTTTCATCAAGTCACTCCTCCCTGCTGCTACCAACTCAATCTCCCCACCTGATCTTGTCAGATAGTTAGAAATCAAGGCCAGGGCTTCCTCTAACCCCAGCGGGGCACAGCCTTCTGAGGTCAGCATCAGGAGCCTCCCTCTAGCCATTCCCCTGAAAGAGATTTAGTACTCAAAAAGTGTTGCTTGCCTTGGCTTTGTCTGTAGCTAATTGGTTTGGTTTCTCTCTGGCTCCTGTCATACCCACCCCTGCCCCCTCCCCTTTACAATGGGGTGTCATGGAGCTGGAGAGTTGCTCAGTGGATGAAGAGTCAATGGCACAGATGTAAGGACCAGAGTTCAGATCCACCTAAAAGTCCGGTGGATATGACAATCCACCTGTGATCCCAGTGTTCCAGAGGCAAAGACAGGAGATCTCTAAAGTAAGATGGTTCACTAGTCCAGCTAAATGAGAGAGCCCTTTTGTGCTGAGATTTGAAGTTTGGTCCTCATTGTGTAGCAAGCACTCTTATGATTAGCCATCTCTCCAGCCCCCAGACATGACCTTAAGAGGAGTTTTTAATATGTCATATTTATATCACAACCATTCTGCACCAAAAAATCCAAAAATATCATAATAACCCCAAAGTCACAGAGACTGACAAGCAGCATGTAAAGTGCCTATACCCATAAATATTTCCTATCTCATGCAAGTTTAATGGCAACCCTATTTTAGCTTAGAAATAAAATACAGACTTTGCTCCTTCCCTAGGCTGTGCAGTTTCTCTGAAGAGGGAAGTTGCTAGAAGAAAGTGGGCTTTGCTTCTCACTATGATTGTTCAAACTTTAGTTTGATTATTGAGAATTGGTCAGTGTGTTGCAACTCCCGAGGTCATTGAGGGCTTTGCAGAGCTAGCAAAGTCTCTAGACCCCGGTAATGGTCAGGTCACCCACAAATGCAAGATAAACACGCACTGACATCGCAGTGGGAGATGAAGAATTCTCAACCTCAGCTTCTTACCTGTCATGGAAAATGTTCACTGTTGAACTTGAGTAGATTTACGTTTGCCATGGAAAGACAACTCTGGATATTTCTGTGAGGGATTTCTTAGTGTAGGGTCATTAGAATGGGAAGACCCATCTTAAATGGGAGTGGTACTATGTCATGAGCCTCTGTCATAGATTACATACAAAACAAACAAACAAAAACGCCCAAGACAGTATCCTGAGAATCAGCATTCATGTCTCTCTGCTTTTGGCTTGTGTGTGCAATGTGACCTGCTGCCTCCTCAAGCCCTTGCCTCTGAGCCTTCCCAGCTGTTATAGTGTATCCACTCCAACTGTAAGCTGAAATAAGCCCCTCCCCTTTCAATGTGCTTGTAGTTAGTTAGGTATTTGGTTTCAGGAACCAGAAAAGTAAGGAATAAACTACTTGTATGGGAGACACTTAAGAGACTAGCCATGGTCCACAGAGGAGCAGGGACCTTTGAGACCTCTACCTTTGTCCTTAAGACCCCAATGACTCCTCAATGGAGCTTTAAAATCACAAAGATCTAGGAAGTATAAGGCCTAATGTATATAAGTATAAGGCCTCTATGTGTAGGCTGAGAGGGATGAGTCACTAGCTAGAGGAACACAGCATCACCGGGGCTGGTGTAGGCACTGAGAAGGAATACATAGCTCAGGAGATATAAATATATCAGGAAAACAAGGGGACAGGCGTGTTAGGAAGCTACGCCCATGTGGTGACCGCAAACCCAAGGACCTGAATGAATGGTGCAAAGTTTGGCTAACAGAATGGTGGAAGGTGGGAGGGCCAATGTGACAAGACTCAGTACCAATTATTATTTACCCATTCACCAAAACACGAGATTCAAAGAGATCTACAGAAGCCAGGTGTGAAGACCCACGCCTGTGACTCAGCTCTTAGCAAGTGGAGCTGGGAGGAGGACAAGTTCATCCTTGGCTATATACTGAGTCTGAGGCTAACCTGAGCTACATGAGACCCTGTCTTAAAGGGGAAAACAAAAGTCCACATTCCACATGAGAAGACTCTTCCTGAAAGAACTCCTAGGCCTCCAAAATGTAAAACTCAGAGACCCTTAGTTACAGACACAGCCGCTCTCCCTTCTGGCAGTCTGCTCCCCAGAACTGTATCTCTCTTCCCAGCACCCCATCCTCACCCAGCTGACCAACTAGTCTCAACCTGCATACCAGAAAGAGCTATCTGTGAGCCATCTGTTAATGAGAACGCTAAGCTAAGCAGGCTGGGACTTGGCTATGCTATGAAAAGGGCCCTTTCTCAGGCAGGTGTTTTTGTTTAAGAAAATAAACCAGCCAAGTCCTAGCACACTGAAAGCTACACACCCCTCCAGCCAATCTGAAGTGGCTCT